GGGCGGGAGACCGAGGCGGGGGACCGGGGGGACCGAGGCGGGGCGGGGGACCGAGGCGGGGAACACAACTCTTCATTGTTGCAGCCTGCTGGATGTATAGGATAGTTAATTGACTCAGAGACGTATATTATATACGTCTCTGATTGACTTAATTACTACCTGTGATACATGCAACCATAACTGGTCAAGCTAGTAAACGTTACACTGTAACTTTCAGCAAATACATGTTTACACCACAGGGTCACGTTACAAATGTCTGAAATACACATATGCTATACTGATACGGGTGTGTGTTGTGAACCGTATCAGTAAAGCATATGTGTATTTCAGACATTTGTAACGTGACCTTGTGTTTACACATAAAATCCGACCCTCTCTGAAATAGCAGGTGTTTGAGTAGCGAACGATGACAATTCTTACCCTATCATCTGTTCCGTCACAGCCATAATGATAATAGGTCACGTCCCCTTTCACCTGTGTGACGTCTGACCCAGGAGGGGACAGATTACTATGTACATTTGTCCACAACCCCACACTCATGTGTATGGTGTTTCCACGTGAGTCTGTTTACTGTGAAGATCTATTGCAAGGGAGGCAACCTGTGTTTTGTTTGCTGTCAACTCACCGTTAACTCACCGTTGGCGACGTCATACCATTAGTCTAGTACGACTTCTATACTATATCTATTATATTACTGGTGTTACTGGTCTACACACTCCCGTTCTGTACATCCCGCTCTATAGCATGCGGGGCTAAAAGGTATGAATCGGTTCATGTCTGGAAAAGATGAAATACAAAATAAGCTACCAAAGAAAAAACAGATACGATATGTGTGTTTGTGTTTGAGAAAATTTATTTGATAATGTCCGTAACCAGAAACACTGTGTTTCCTACAGCAGTGGTGNGTCCCCCGCCTCTCACACGCACGTCCTAACCACCTTGAACGTAAAACCAGGACTTGGTGACTAACTTGCATGCGATATGATAATTACTACGATATAACGCCTGGGACTGTACGGCAGATTGCATTAAAACACCATATATGAGAGTCTAATGGTTGTTACCATTTCTATAAGCATTTCGCAGACTACCAGTCTGCCCGGTAATTAAAATGAGTTCAGTTGTAGAATTCCGCATTAAAGCCGTTTTGATCTCTGTGGTGTATAACATATAGATAGATAATATAGAGTGTCCTCATTATACGTGCCGTGACTTCCATTACTCTACAGTCATGTGCTGAGTTGTCCTTGCATACCTGCCGTACCACACAGGGACCTGCCAATTTGTTACAGCTATATTTTGGACCTAAACTGAGGTGTTCAGAGTAATTTTACACGCTTTAGGGGCTTCGATCAATTTCGGTGAAATTTCCACCCCAATTATGATATATATAGTTCAAGGGCCTAATAAAGCTGTGAAACCTATTATGTCCCGGTGCCATACCAGTGTGCCAGGAGTCCTGCATCAGGTCCCCGTGCCGTACCAGTGTGCCAGGAGTCCTGTATTAGGTCCCCGTGCCATACCAGTGTGCCAGGAGTCCTGTATCAGGTCCCCGTGCCATACCAGTGTGCCAGGAGACCTGTATTAGGTTCCCGTGCCATACCAGTGTGCCAGGGGTCCTTATTAGGTCCCGTGCCATATCAGTGTGCCAGGAGTCCTGTATCAGGTCCCCGTACCATACCAGTGTGCCGGGAGTCCTGTATCAGGTCCCCGTGCCATACCAGTGTGCCAGGAGTCCTGTATCAGGTCCCCGTGCCATACCAGTGTGCCAGGAGTCCTGTATTAGGTCCCCGTGTCATACCAGTATGCCAGGAGTCCTGTATCAGGTCCCGTGCCATATCATTGTGCCAGGAGTCCTGTATCAGCTCCCCGTGCCATACCAGTGTGCCAGGAGTCCTGTATCAGGTCCCCGTGCCATACCAGTGTGCCAGGAGTCCTGTATTAGGTCCCCGTGCCATACCAGTGTGCCAGGAGTCCTGTATCAGGTCCCTGTGCCATACCAGTGTGCCAGGAGTCCTGTATCAGGTCCCGTGCCATATCAGTGTGCCGGGAGTCCTGTATCAGGTCCCCGTGCCATACCAGTGTGCCAGGAGTCCTGTATCAGGTCCCGTGCCATATCAGTGTGCCGGAAGTCCTGTATCAGGTCCCCGTGCCATACCAGTGTGCCAGGAGTCCTATAACGCCAGTCTAACCATTATTCCACAGTTATATACTATGTGTACACCGAACTCGAACTATGTAAACCGGCACAATAAAAAAATACCGCTAGTTCCAACAGAGGAGACCCATAATAAGTTAAATGTCCTGGGACCCATAACAATGCTATGAAGCTAGCCAGGTATGAGGGAACAACTATTGTCAGGGTATGAAACGTAGTATTAAAACGACTTGAAATTAGCTCCGTATGAGAGTGGTTTTATGGACGCATTGAGGTGCTGTTTTCAACCTACTAATATACACACAAATATAATATCATATAGTAACGCGTCAGAATCGCATTAATGTTCACTCAATAGGACAACATTAAGCTCGAACAGCATCCCCCTTTAACACGTCCAGTCCACTGACTGTTGTCAACGTGGACTTTCTCAACATTATTGGATAAAATCGTTACTTATTTAAAATTCTGTTTAAAACATCTGGGACCCATAACAATGCTATGAAGCTAGCCAGGTATGAGGGAACAACTATTGTCAGGGTATGTTTGACTGAGGAAAGTCTTTTATGTAACGTAGTATTACGTTTTTGAACACATTGATATTTGAAAATTAAATATCAATGAATGGAAAGTTTAAAAACGTGCGAACTTTTGAACGATAATGGTTTTTAACTGACCCCATGAA